TCCTTCCTTCCTTCCTTCCTTCCTTCCTTCCTTCCTTCCTTCCTTCCTTCCTTCCTCCCTCCCTCCTTTTCATGCCCATTATAGAGGTTGGGGAAACTGAGAATAAGCTACTGACCACCTGCTCAAAGTCCATGAACATCAAAGTCACGGCTGAGGAAGGGATGTCCGTCTGAATGGCTCGCTAAGTGCACTGGCCAAAGGCCTGCTTGGATTCCAGAGCATCTGATCTGAACATAGGATGAGGTCTCACTTCATAGCAGACCTTTGATCCAGCTAGCCACTTTTGACCCTGACTGCTAATAAACTATGGTTAGGCAAAGATTGGCTTACTAAGGTATGTTCCTAAAGTCTTTGTGTGAGAAAGGGTTATGGAAAAGGATGAAAATGAAATAATATAATATCCCGAGAGAGCATCCAAGGGTTGATTATAGATGGATCTTGAAACCACAGCCCGGTTGTTTATGGCATTGAAAGTCCGTAGCTGTGAGCAGGATTGGGGCCAAATTTATCACCAGCCAGGATTTTCTAAGTAGCTCAGCATCCCCATTTCAGGCTCTGTTGGACAAGATGCTGAGGTCCTCAGAAACGCAGTTCATTTATTTTTGTGCTTATGTGGGAGGTTGGATCTGTGGAGCAAGTAAAAAGAGAGAGAGAAACAACTGATGGGCCCCATGCGCTATAAAATGTCCTATGTTAAGAATCTCTGCTTCTCACTGCAGACAGAGCTGGAACACACTTGTATTAGAGGAAACTTGGGGGTGAATCCATAGTTTCAGTGGAAGATGTTGTATCTCCTTTTGGGTCCATAACCTCTGGAAAGGGATCATGGCTGTGGTGCTTCCATCCCTATAGGAGGTGAGTTTGAATGGATTCACACATTGCACAAAACCATAATAGGATTAGTGTGATGTGTGAAACCCGTCTTTGGGTATGACAGAGAAACAGAAGCATAACAGTATAAAGACTTGTGTTTTTATTTTTAGCTGCACTCGTATTCAGCAATTTTTCTAGGGCTTCCAAAATGTCCCAGTGCTTTTTCTAAGGTATCTTTGCACCCTTCAGGGCTAGAAACTTTGGAAGTTTGGTTTTAATGAAAAAGCTAAGATTCATAGGAAGTTAAAATTGGCAGTTTTAAATGTTTCTGCAGAACTGGTGCATGCCC